TGACATCTGTTAGTGCCTTTATTTCTGTTAAGTTTCTGTTTGGTAGACCTCTCCAGTGGGGAGAGTGGGGTGTTGAAGTCTCCCACCATTAGTGTGTGGGCGCTTTATGTGTGATGTAAGCTTTAGTGATGTTTCTTTTACAAATGTGGATGCCCTTTTACTTGGGCATAGATGTTCAAAACTGAGATTTCCTTTTGATGAATTTTTCTTGTGACAAATATGAAATGTCCTCTTTATCTCTTTTGATTGAGTTTAGTTAGAAGTCTATTTTGTTAAGTATTAGGATAGTTATACCAGCTTGTTTCGTAGGTCCATTTGACTGAAAAACTTTTCCTAACCCCTTACTCTGAGATGATATCTGTCTTTGAGGTTGAGGTGTGTTTCTTGTATGCAGCAGAAGAATGGATTCTTTGGAGTTTCCAATATTGCAGGTCCAAAGACTAGTTACCATTTATCTTGAACTATAAAATCCCCCTTAGCAGCCATTCTTTGCCTAGCTCTATCTCTGATCCCATGGCCTGTGACTCACAAGCAAACTTTTTAAATTGCATTAATTTAACAGATCTTTAGCTTCCACCAACCAAAAGACTAAGGGTTGTCAGGTAGCCCCTGAGTCCCACAGCAGTGATTTCCCCTCTTCACCCCACCTACCTAAACTTTCCAGGATGTGTTTGACTCTTTGTTCTGTTATGACAAAAATTTCATCAAACCGTTACCACATTGGAACATGGAATTTGGAGTAATCGAAATCAGTGTTGCGGGGTAGAGACCCAAAGACCACTCAACATGACCAAAGTTCGAATTGAAAGTCTGTATTGAGCCACCAGAGACGGCCTGGACAGAAACTCTTCCCACAAAACAGCTACAAATGCACATTGCAGGGAGTTTTTAAGGACAGTGAACTCAGAAAAACTGTATCCTTCCTGGTTGGCAGTTACAGGGGGAAGCAAGCAAGCAGTTCAGCAAGAGCCAAGAATATGCAGTTGGCTGGGACATTTTGACCCGAGTTTCTAGAATGGGATTGGGTGTTTTCCCGTGGGACTTTTCAGGGCAGGGGATAGAAACCAAAGAAGGCTTCGACTGAGACAAGATGGAGAGCCCTTACCCTGTTAGATCTGTAGTCCCAGTGCATGGTCAGTGGTATTTGCTCACAAATGTACTGTTTCTTACCTCTTTGGAGGAGGGAGTTGTCTTTCCACCCTGACAGTTCAGATTGCTAGCACCCAGGTAAAAAAGCTAGTACTGAGAGTAAGCCTGTAACCCCGCACCAGGGAGGCAGACATGGGAGGCTCCCTCATCCTTGCTGGTCAGCCAGTGTGGTTGAGTTTGTAAGCTCCAGGTTCAGTGAGAGACCCAGTCTCAAGAATTAGGGGGATAGTGATTACAGAGGAAAACTTTACCTTTTGGCTTTCATATGTATATGTACCTGCAAAAACACACACATACATATATACACAAAGACATGTATACATATGCACACACAGACATGTATACATATACACATGTACGCGCACACACGGACATGTATACATACACACAGACATGTACATACACACATGCACACACATGCACACACACATACACACTCGGACATATACATACACACTCAGCACCAAGGGAAAAGCAAATGATTGCCTGCAAGATTAACAGCTGGCTTCTCAGTAGATGTCATGAAAGTCAGAATGAACCGAGATGGCATTAAAAGCGCGAATGGATTTTTAAAAGAAGTAAGCAAATCAAAAGAAAAAGGTTAAGAAACAATATATAATCAATAAAAGATGTTTAAAAGGGGAAGAACGCAGGAACAGAATGGAAACGTGTGTCTGAAAGGTATCTGAAGCCTCTGGGCATGAAATCACCAACTCAGTCACTTCCTGGTTATTCCTGCAGCCTGAGGTCACCAGGAAGTTCACATTCCAGATAGCAGCTTCCATCCTGCAGGTCTGGAAGGACCTTCTGAGTCCATTTTGAAGTTTTTCACCACGACTTTGCCTTTTATTTTCGCAACCACGTAAAACAAAACTGAAAATGAAAGGGGAAAACAGACCCCGAGACCAAGCGAACAGTGTGGTTCTGTTATCTGTTCAGTATGATGAACAGGTTTCTTTTTAAAATTTATTTTTTGATTTTATGTGTAAGTGTATGTGACTGAGTGTATGTGTTGAATGTACACATACACTTACACATAAAATCAAAAAAACCACAGATTAAGTGAAGCAAACATTAAAGACTTACAGAGAGGAAGCAACTGGAGTCTCTCTGGGCACTACACACACAGGGTGCGCAGACATCCACACAGGCAAAATTCCCTTACACATAAAATAAAACCTAAAAAGAACATTAACAGCAATACAGTGGGAAGGGCCTATCAGTTATGGAGAGATTTCTAAAGATGTGCAGTTTTGACCAGACACAGAAGCCCAGGTCCTGGAATATCACAGCCAAAGGGAACCCTGCGCTTGCCCCACTGAGGAACTTTGGATCCCACTATGACACTGACTACGCTATTAGCTCTGGGTGCCATGCAAAGGTTGCCCATAAGTGCCATGCGGGAAGACAAAGAATGTTTGGATACGCTAGACAAACTGGTTCATTTTTGCTTCCCAGAGGACATCTTCAATACAGATGAAACTCTGCATTCTGGACGCGGATGCCTGGAAGAACTTTCAGCCACAAAGTGTCCTGGTTAATGTCCAGGTTCAAAGCCATGACAACCACCTTGCTGGGGACAAAGTATGATACTGAGACCTGACAGGGAGAATCCAGCAACTCCATCGTGGCTCACAACCATCTGTGATGAGATCTGATTCCGTCTTCTGGTCTGCCTGAGGACAGGTCGCTCATATATATAAAATAAATAAAATCTCCTGCTTTTATTGATAACATTAGTATTCCAGGATTAATGACCTTTCTTTGCACATAGCTAGAATTATGACTGATGTCCCGATTTTTTTTTAAAGAAGGCTAATGTAGGTTTTATGTGGCATGGAAGCTTTCAGAATGGTAGACCCTCAAGTAAGCAGGGAACCTTGTGTGTTTTTTACGCTGGGTTAGGTGAGAAGTGGTAGCTGGACAGTACTATAATTGGGCAAAGACTACTCTAAGCCAATAAAACCAGGACAGCTTGATAAAGCTGGTATATCCCCGTGTTCCCTAAGATGAAGCCACTCCTTCCTTCTCGAGGTAGGATGGACCCCTGCGGGTTTTCTTCGGGTCAGTGGATGATAGGGATGCTTCTGGGATGTTCTCTTATTGCCATGCTGACACTGGAAGGAGAGCCCTCCCTCTCCCTCTTAAGGGTCACATTTTTCTTATCAAGCCTCTGTTCTTGTTTCTCACAAGTCTCCCTATCACCAGGAAGCCCTACTCTCTCTGATTACTCGTTACCTCCACCGCTACCTTTCTTTGCCCTGGACAATGGTTGTCCTATGTAACCGTCCTCGCCCCACTCGTTCAAGCCAGACCTCTTGTGTGTAGCTAAACACATGTGTGGTCTGCAAAAACAATCAGTAAATTCTTGGAAGATAGATTTTTCAACAGCTGCAATGATAGGGGAGAACTAATCTTCACCAGGGATGAGACCTTGGTTATTGACTACCAAGTGGTCAGCCCTAAAAACTATACAGACATGCCACACTAAACAAACGTAGCAGATTTTACATACACACAATACACTAATATAATATTATATATATTAATAATATGTACATTTATATAATAGAGAGCATTAACTTGATAAAGAGTGCTTGGGAGGGAATGGTGACAGAGGTAGTGATCTAAAGGTACACATATATGACACTTTAAACATTAACAACCTAACTGATACAGTAAATCTTGGTAAAAAGTGAGAGACATTAAACAAAAATATCCAGGACTACCTATATATCAAAATTCTGAAAGTAATAAAGGTGAACTTATCCAAAGGGAAAAAAAAAGAAAAAAAAGAAAAAAAAGAAAAAAAAATCCATGCAGGGGAACAAAGAATTGGCCCAGCTTCCTTTTACAACCGGGAGTGTCCGGGAAATAATAAAGATGAAACAAAGCTCCTAGTTTGGGTCCAGCCTTGTCACTCAGGTTCCTCATAAACCAAGGTACTGTTGGTGGATAAAGGGGGACCAAAGGATAGGCACCCTTTGTGGAGAAAATACGAGAACCCTCTGTTGACAAAGGGAGGAGGAAGGAAATACAAGGTCTGTTCTTGCGTGCTGGAAGTCATAAAGTCATTCAGAGCTAGTCAGAGAGCTGAGGGTGGCCTTGCCTTACACAGAGCGCTGCCTGACCCCACCAGGAAGGAGGAGGGCAGCATGCATGTCACCAGCTGGTGTTGCCCTGTAGCCAGCTTAGTGAGCAGTGACCAGGCATACTCAGAACTGGGAACACCACAGACTCCTGCGGGGGTAGGGGGGAACCATCACAGCCTTCTGTGGGGTTCGGGGGAGCGCTTTTTACCACAGGACGATTCTCTCTGGTCAGACCAGAGATTCCCTCATGCCAGCACAGGTCCGAGAAGTCTGACAGATGTTGGTTGGGAAAGCTGGGGACCCAGGTCGTCTCCTCGTGTTTTGGAGAAGGGCAGTTGGAGGCACTCTTGGGCAGCTATGTGGAGGACATACAGATCAGGAGAAAAGGAGGAGCCGGGTGTTCAGTGTGCTGTCTATACGGCATCTAAGTTCACTCCTTACAGCTACAGCCCTACAACCCAAGCAGCCACATAAAATTTACATTTGAATAAGTTCCACACTCTAACCTTTTAAACCAAGGAAATCGAAGTAAAATCAAATGTCATTTTGGTGGGATACATGTATGTCATCTTTGATGACCAGAAAGAAGTCTGATGCAGGGAGAATTCTGAACAAAGCAGTACTTTCAAAGGTTGGGTTCTTTTACTTTGGAAAATAAAAGTTTATTCATTTATTTAGTGTGCGGGGGTACAGGTATGTCCCCAAGTGCACACAGCCATAGTTCACATGTGGCCAGAGGACAACGTTCAGGACACAATTCCCGTCTTCCATGTGGGCCTTCAGGTTGTCGTGTGTGATGCGTCTTTTACCCTCCGAGCCATCTTCCTGGACCTCACACGTTACAGTCTAACGTAACGGGATGAAAATGAAGCAGAACTCAGCACGTGGCTTTGAATGTGGCTGTGATTTCAGTCTGGAGACAATGCAGCCAACAAATGTTTCCACTGACAGATACCTTTATCCACCAGGCAAGGCTGGGGGCTGTTCTGACCCTACCCCCACCCCAGGGCACTGACACCGAACTTCTCAATATAATCCATCAGTACTGAGAGCCATGCCAAGCGGAAGGCAAGAATTCCCGACCACGGTATGCAAATTGATTCTGACATTTAATTTTTCCTTTTAAGCCTATTTGGGGAATTTTTAAAAACAGAGCTGCACTGAGCAAGATTATTGAGTAAAACTTACCATGGTGTAACCTTTCCTTTGCCCTTTCTCTCCAGTCCTCCAGGGCTACCCAGGTGCTCGAGGGCTCTCCACCTTTCAGCTGTAATAGCCTGCTTATAAGGAGGATTAATGATCACAGCTTTCTTCATATGGATTTAAGTCGAGGACGTTTTTCTCTGAGGCTGTATGTTCGTGTCTTTATTCTGTCTTGTGCTATTATTAAAGAGGAAGAAGTGTATTTGGCATATGTTGGGCACCCCCAAATATTTATCTGGATAAATTTTTGTTGTTGTGGATGAAATAGGAACCCCACTCATTTAATGCCAAAGGCAAAGTCGTGTCTAGACTCCATTAGAGGGATGGCTCTTTCGTTCGCTAGCTCCAAGTAAACAGAGAGCAAAGGAAGGCGAAGGAACGCAGCATGAAATTAGCAGAAAAACTTCAGGGCGCCTTTGCCTGCCTGTACAAAAGCATGCAGGGAGGTTTGGCAAGCTGGCCGGAAGGTGGGCGGCATCTCATCCTCCACCCCTTACAGCCCCAGCTGGCACCAAGGAGTGCCAGGCCTGCTGGCAGAAGCATTTGAAAAGGCCAGCTTGGGGTGGGAGGGGCAAGTCTTTCCCACTTTCACTTCCAGAAACCCTATCAAGATATCTTGTCATACCTTAAAACACAAATTAGAAACCACAAATTATTCCCAAACCATGCTCCCTTGGCATTCGTTATGTTGATCTTCTTGCTGATAAATGTTTAAAAAAGGAGTGAGGGGTTGATCCATTTGATGCACCTAGTCACTTATAAGGTGCTTCTTTATTTACGGTTTCAGGTGCCTCTTTTGATCAAGAGAGTGTAAGTCATTTCTCTAGCTAGTTACATCTCGTTTATAAAAGACCCTGACGATTCCTTTGGAAACCTGTGACCCGCCGCCTCTCCGCCCTCATCCACTGAGGAGAGACTTAGTCATCACTCGGTGTTGCAATGGGTGTGACTCACAGAGAAATAGAGAAGACTTCACACATGCAGGCCTCAGAGCTCCGGCAGAAGCCCAGGCACCTTGAGAGGATCAGCTTGCTCAGGGCGGCACTTCCTTCTCCTGGGCACGGCAGGAAGGTGGCAATCAGCTGAGTGAGCCTCCAGCAGCTTCTGCACCCCCAGTCATCTCCGGCGAGGTAACTGGTGACTGTTTGGTCATTTGTCTCTTCGCTTAACCATCTCAACCTGAACTGGCTTTAATGTTCCCTGCTTTTACAGGATGAAACAAGTCGTCTTTCAGTTGTGGTCAACTGTTTTGTTTGTTGGCTTGTTTGTTTGCTTTAATTAGTATGAGATTGATGGGTACAGAGTCCATCACCTAAAGAAATGATCTCAGTGTGACCCAGGAGCCTGACTGAAATTCTTCCAGGACTCGGGACTCTGTGACTATTCTGTAGCATCCTGTAGTCGCAACTACATACTCTGTCTGTCTCTCTCCCTCTCTCCCTTCCTTCTTATTGGACACCTTCTGTGACTCTTGGGAACCCTGAGATATTGAAGAGGGCAGAGATCCAAGAGTTGTGTGAGCATCTTAACAGAGGGCCTCAGGGGTGGCACAATTTCTTGCCAACCACGGCCTGCTATGTTTCTCTCCCTGCTTTCCCATGGACTGTCAGTGTTATTGGTTCCCATGAGCACATGTAGACGAACACCAAACTGGAAGAGAAAAAATATTGGGAATGAAGAAAGGATGTTTCTAAGGTGCTTGCAAACTGTAATCCTGGGGGTGGGGGGGACCTCTGCTCAGACAGCCGCTCCACATTTTGTGATAAAATGACTTAGTATTTCAAATGCTCCCTCCCCGCCACGCACAATTAATTTTTGGCAGGTGGGGCCAATAACTCTGCAAAGCCCCATGATACTCTCCGCCCAGAGCTGGGGTTGGCCTTTGCTTATTTTCCTGTCACTTGGCACATATTAGACACTCTGAAATATGCTTGGCCAGACGGGGATGACATGAGAAAGGAAAGCTCCTTCGTGGCCGTTGTACTGCAAACTTTCACATGTGAAAACGGTGCCCAATCTTTAGAATAAATCTCAGGGTTTAACTACAAGGAATATTTGTTGCTTCCTACATTTCAAGAGGTGAGACCCTAATCACAGATGTCACTTTCTCAAGAGACAGAATTTTAAGCCACTAACATTGTCACAGTTAGTAGCGCTAGCTGTGCCTGAAGGAAGTACCCTGAGGATTTGGAAGGGCTCGCTGTGTTGATCCACACATCCGCTCTCTTCTCAACTCTCATTGAAATTTTGTGACCAGAAATTATAATAACATACAGTGTACAATCCCTTCCAGCTAGCAGTTACTATCTTGTGGTCATAACTTAAAAAAAAACTATAGATTCATCAATGATTCGTAATGCTCTATTCCTGTAAGGAGGCACACAGACAAAAGAGTCAATGCAGGAGGGCCTGGGGTGACCAGTATTCATTAGCAAAGGTGCATAGGAAATTGCTTTAATTTAAGATGTTTTCCCAAGACCTGAGTCTGTACATCTGGGGAGGCAGGACAGCCTCTGTGTGAAGCTGCTGAGGACGCATGCGTGGCCTGCTCCCACCACACACTGGGTGTGGAGCTGCACCCTCCACCCTCCCACAGGGTTTCTAGTGGAGGAAGCTTTGCTTTCTCCCATTACGGGATGGAGCTCGCCAGTCCAGGATGCCGAGCACCACCTCATCTTGGCTGTGTCATCCTCGTGGTCAGTATGGTTTTCACCAGATTCCCAACAGAACAAGTGCATGTAGGGGCCATTGGCTTTATTTTTAAATTCGTTTCAGATTTTCAGGTGCCTGACTTTTATCCTCTTCCTGTATCATCAGTCTCTTGAGTTCCTTTTCCTTGGAGAAAAGCACATTAGATGTCCCTGGGGTTAAAGAAGAAGAATTTTTACTTCACTAAAAATGGCACAGAATAGAAATGAGTCCTGAGTAATGAGCCATGTATGCAATATCTAAATATGAGAAGCATGCGTGTTCCACGGTAGTCATTATTAAGCACGCCGCATAAGAAAACTCATAAAATCCTTCAGACAGCCATCTAGATCGATGCTTTCTATTTGATGCATTTTGGCACAGTAGCTCAGCTGCTGGTCCAGAGACTGCAACAAAATTAACATAAATGAAGATTTAATAAACTCCCAGTGCTTTCTGAAAGAAAATCTTCTGTGGAATTATGTGGGCATAAAATGAACTGGTCTGGGAGACACCCTCTAGAAAGAGTTTTCCTGTCTAAGCAGGACTTCGAACGCTAGTGTCGTTTTTTTCATCTTGCCACCCACTTCCTATCAGCAGAGGAAGGCAACTATTAGAAGTCAAATCAAAGGAGTTTATTTTAAGAATAAACTTACTTACTTCTTACTGAGAAACCCAGGAAGAGAAGCCAGAAAGCAGAAGTGGGAACCGCCGTGGAGCAGAGCGCTTCCTGACAGCTGCTGCCACGTGGTTCCTACGTTAACGCTCTACACGGCCAATGAAGACGGTAATCAATCTCCTCCCATGGCTCCCTCTGAATCTCTGCTGTATGACAGAGACTTTCTGACAGACATTTTCATTCTTCCTAGCGACTGACAATGTGTTCGTTCCCCGTCCCCACAGCTCTTCCCTCTCCTCTTACACAGTTTAAGATCCCAAGGAGAAAGGTATCTTTTAGCAAACATTCTAATTTGTGATATTCAGCCTAACTCCAAAATAGCATGAGGGTTAAATGAAATACATATGTTGAGATTTATGAGCTACGATCCTTAACCTTTTCATGTCTGAATTGGAAATGGGGACATTGCACGATCGCGCACAATCGCCCTGTCATTCTCTTCCTTTGTCCGGAGGTCACCAGTCTCAGAAGTCAGTCTAAGCACTATCAGCCAGGAGGCAGAGCGGATCACTTCCGTCTCTTCCTTCTGTTCTTCCTCTTGCTCCTCTGCCTAAGGTCATGCAGTGCACACAGCACAGAGGTGGGAAAGAGGGTACACAGTCTAGATGCCAGAGCCCAGCGGGAATGAATGCAGCCCAGGAGGGACCAGAGGGGTCTGTCCCAGCATCACCCCAGAATCGTGGCTTGCGCCTTGAACCAATTAGCCTGCATATCTGAATTCACCTCTTTTCTATAGAGATTTCTTTATTTAGCTTGAGGTTTTCTGAGCAGGCTCTCATTTATGTTGCCCAGTCTGGCCTCTCCCTCCTATCTTTACCCTCCAAATGCTGAGATTATAAACATGAGGTACCACATCTAGGACAAAAGGAAGTTTAAGATAAATATTTATAGGTATAGGCAACTGCCTAGAACAGGATATCTTAAACTTTCACCAATGTTGGCCCCTTTGTATCCAAGAAATATACATCTATATAATCTGAGATATATAGATCTGTAAAATGGGCATACAAATACATACTGACAGATCATAAAGAAATTTACTTTGAAACAATTCTCTTGGGTACACATAATTTTACCAATTATTGAAAATGAAAACAAATTTACATACTAATATAGACATGCTTGGTTGTTTAAAAAATAAAAAAATTAAGTCTTAACTAAATATTTGATACTTCAGGACTTAGCATCTTCAATGTTTTTCAGAGTTGACTAATATTTTGATTTTTGATTGTGAATGCAGAGACTGTCATTGGCATAAATATGTAGTGCAATAGTAGAAACTTGTTTAAGGCCATTTTAGAATTCTTGAAAATTCTGTCCTAATCCCAAGCCCAAATTCATTTAATATTTTTTTAATGAAATCAAGTCAGCAACTCAAACTCTTAAAAGGATTTTCTTATTTTATTTTTATGTATACAAATGTGTTCCTGAGTGTACACATGAATACCTGGTACTTTTGGAAGCCAAAAGAAGGTGCCAGATCATCTGGAAGCTGTGTAACACTATGTAGGTGCTGAGGCCAAACCTTCATCCTCTACGAGAGCAGCAAGTGCTCCTATTCACTGAGCCACGTCTCTGTCCCTCCAAATAGCAATTTTCATAGCCAAATAGTCTACTACAATACAATCCAAAGACATATAAATGAGATGTTTACACGAGGAAAATTGACTGTAAAAAAAAATATTAAGTTCGTACTTTAAAGAACAAAAAAAAAACCTACATAGACTGAAAATTCTGCACATCTTTACATTCAATCGTCTTGAATCCGAGCCGAGGTGCTTTAGGCAGCATTGGCTGGCATTACACACACCAGACAAAGTGTATGAGCTGTGTGTTTAGGTCCACCGCTGCAGTAAAGACATTCAGTGCAGCAGGGACAAGCGCTGCCCGAACAACCTTGGATCCATTGTGCTTGGTTTTGAAATACTTTTTAGCCATTGTACATTCAAAACCTTTTTATTGTTGTTAATTTTTTTTATCCCACATTTAGTTACATGGCCTACATCGGTTCTCTACCCACGGTTCAAAAAACCGCGGCATTCAGTCACCCATGGCTGTTCCTCACACTTGCTCCTGACTTTATGAGCCAGAAATCTGAGGACCATGGACTTCCTAGGAGCGTTTGTCAAACTGTATCTAGAGGATCAGTTTGCTGCCCAGAGCAAGCTGTCAGGGCCCCAACCTGAAAGGCGCAGTCAGAATCCAGGCCTTCCGAATGTGAGTGCTAGTGTGGTCACTTCTACATCTACACATAGTATTCTATATAATTTGCTTTTTGGTGCCTTCTATCCTTGTATTAAGAAAAGTAGATATTTTTTAAATCGCAAAGTTAGTGCTTGCCAAAGCAGGAGATGAGCAATTTTGTAAGCAACTAAACCTCTCTGTTGAAGTCACAAAATTATAAACACTCATCACGGAAACCTCAGTGGCCGGATTTCTAGAGAAGCCGTCCTGGGTCCAGTGACACTCAGAACCTCTATGTCAGCAGTTCTCAAGTATGAGCAACTTTGTCCCCTAAGGGACATCTCTTTATCACAAGTGTTACTGACAGTTAGTGGGTAGAAGCCAAGGATGTTGCTAAACATGCTAAAATATGCTAGCCAGACTTTACATTGTTAATTATGGAGTCCAAAATCTATAAAAAAGGACAGCAATTGGAGAGCCCGAGCAACAGACAGAGAGGCCCTTACAGGCAGGAAAGGTGGCTGGTTCTTCCCGTGTAACAGACTTTAAACTAGGTTAGTTCACCAGGTACTCTTGGACAAAAGTAGCCTATCTCTGCTCTACCCCCGGGAAAGACCCAGGGAGGATAAGTGAGTTGCTCCAAGTCCTCCGAGGTCTGAACTCCTGAACACTGCTCTAATGCTAGGGGCCAGGGGACCTGCACTCTTAGCAAACAGTTTGGCACCGGGGAACAGCAGAGAAATGAGCAGAGGGGCCGAGGCGGTCCTGTCAGCTGTGGTTACTCATTTACTTCTCGGGTGAACTGATTGGCTGACTGTCAGTCCCTCTCTCTACACAGGTCATGGTCCTGAAAGCCCTGACCTGGGACTCTTGTTCACAGATAGTTTCTTGGCTAAAGCGCTACTCGGGGTCAAAGATACGTACTGGGTTGTTACTGACCTGGTCCAATGACCTAGAAGAATGCAAAATGCAGAGACGAAAGAAGAACTAACATTTTTAGACAATAGTAACGACAGGCTGCACAAATCAACGTCTCTCGAGCAGTGTTAGGTGTCCCGAGGATTCAGGTTACTGACTGGAACACCAGCCTCCGTGATGACCATCGGCCTAGAGGGCGCACAATGACGGTCCATTTTCATAGCGCGCATCCTTAATGACTAAAAAGCTCCCCTCTGCTTCTTGTCACCAAGGGAAACTGTGTTTGGTTAGGGAGGAGGTTAAGTGGGCGGTGGAGAGGATGAGGCCGAGAAAGACTGACTTAGGTTTGAGCTTTTCTTTTCCTCCAGCAACAGTGAAAACAGGCTTTCCAAAGGACAGAAGGCAGGCGACCTAGTATCCCAGGTCTCTCCAAAGTCCTGGCATTTTGATTTGTACCTAGAACCCCAAAGCAGTTCAATGAAGCCTTTAGGGGAGAGGGGCTTCATCTTTCTTTACCAGACTTTGACTGTTTTGTTTCAAAGTGCTGTCGTTCATGGTCATTCCTATAGGGGAGCTTGCCGCCAGGGTTCACTCACCCGTGGGCATCCAAATCTGGCTTCTCTAATCTCTTGTTGTTGGCATAGGAGCTGCGTCCCTGTCTGTACACTTCACATCACCTAGAGACTGTTTGCAGTACCTAGTGTGAACGCTGTGTAAATAGTTACACTGTTGTTCAGGGGAGGAGACTAATGCAAAAGTCTATGTGTTCAACAGAGATCCAGCCTGTAAAACGACTCAGATCTGCCGTTGGTTGTGTCATGGGTGTAATTTCACACTTTAAAAAAAGCTAAAGGGGGATGGTACAATCTAGAGTCTCTAAACATTAGCATTTTACCACGTTTTTATTCTCACTGTCGTATATACATATGAGGTTTTGTTCACTTATACTTACTATTCTCTGAACTGTGTGGGTTTTTATTGTGTTTTGTTGGTTCATTTTGTTTTTGAGACAAGGTCTTCCTATATAGCTCTGGCTGGCTTGGACCTCACCATGTCTATTAGGCTGGTCTTAAACTCATAGAGACCATTCTGTGTTCACCCAGGCTGAACTTTTTGAAAGCAAGTTAAAGACATCCTACCCTGTAATTTTTGGATAGTATTTTGATAATATAAATTATCAAAAAAGCGGGACATTTTCTACAATGTAATTTTCGAAGTAACATTTATCAACTTTACAGATTCTTTTTTCAAGTGTTCCTAGCTGGTGTAGTAAGGCTCTTTCTGAGAAAGGGAGAATGCTCACCAGTCTGCTGTCCCATGTGGCCTTTAACTGTCTTGTCTCTTTGGCAGCATTAGTCCCTTTCCCCCTTCGTGACTGGTGTTCTGAAAAGCATGGGGCACACATTCTTCAGAAAGATGCTTTTCCATGTATGATTTGCTGAATTGTACAGAGAGCTCTGCTTCTCCTTTCTAGTATCAACCAGGGGCAATGATGTTGTTTGCTCCATGACAAAGAATATCCACTTATATCACTTTGCTAATGTGATCTCTCAGATTTCTTCGTTGTGAAATTGCTGCTGTTCTTTTTTACTTAGTAATTGTCTTTAGGGGACATCCTTTTAGATTTTATACTGTCATTCTAACAACCATTGAGAAGTCTTGCCTACAACAATTATTACTCTGTCAATAGCTAGTATTGACTTTCTAACTGTATCCTTTCTTTGACACTTCTCAGTTGGCATGACATCCTTGTCCTTATACAGTTGGTTATTGATGTTCATTAAAATGGTTAAGTTCATGTTATAGTCAATGACTTATGATCCATTATGACCATCATTTGCTTTGATGCCCAATTGTGTCACACTTAGCGAGTAAAGACCCTCCCAGTTGGCTCTTCTGTGTTCTTTGATATGTGCCCAAAACACTCTCTCTCTCTCTCTCTCTCTCTCTCTCTCTCTCTCTCTCTCTCTCTCTCTCTCTCCCTCTCCCTCTCCCTCTCTCTCTGGTGTAAGATACCCCAGGATCATTTTATAGTTCCCTAGACTAATTTAATCCTCATATCAGCCTTTCCAAAGATTATAATAGTGAGAATATAGGAACCCCAAGGTGCTTTCATTGATCTCCAAATCCTTCATCCTTCCTAATTGAAGCCTCTTGTGTCTGGCCACTCATTATCACAGTAATAGCCCCTACCTTCCTCATGGCCTCCGGGGCTCATGGTCCCCCCTGGGAACTCACCAGTCATTATATGTGAACAGAGGAGGGCACGAGGGGAGACAATGAAAGGTGCCGCACACCACACCCCCATGTCTGCACTCTGTGCACTAGAACCCAGTTCGTGAGCTTCGGGCAAGGGAACTGGAGGTTGAAATACACACGCAGAGACAAACCGACACACGCAGAGACAGAACAACACACGGACCTCCAAACGCTAGTTCAGAAAGCCCCCTTTATTAACACCATGTAGGCTTAAATACACTGCAGTCAATGGCCAACAGGTGATAATCCATCCTCTGATCCTCTAAACTAGGCACAGTTTCTAGTAACTTTAATTAGAAGGTTCTAGGAGGGAAGAGCAGCTGAAGTCCCAACAGAAAGGAACACTACTTCGTGTGTCAGAGGTTGTTCTGGCCCAAGGACGTTTAGCCTAGCGTCTTAGCACCCATGCCGAGGTGCCTGTGTTGACTCTATCAGCTCAGCTTGGACACCGCTCAACCCCAGCTACCAGAGAATCCAGGGTTTCCTGTTCTCTCAAATGGGAAGGCATGGTGCTCCAGGCCGCAATAGCTTTTGCAAACACCTTGGATCTGTGAGCCTGTTTTATCTTCTATAAGTGAGCCAAATAATATGTTTTCCACGAGACTGGAGAGAAAACCAGCTGAGACTGTGTGCAACTCTCCAGCGGAGAGGCCTTTGCCAAGGTGGGGGCCAGTCTCACTTTTTACTCCTCTCTATCTGCCCCTGGCAAAGTCGACAGCAGAAGTCACATCCTCTATTAGAGGGACATTAAAACTCACAATTGTTTTGCTTTCTTCAAATAATTTCTCTGGCAATTTGATTTACAGTGAAATTAGACATTTCACTATTCAGTGACTATCAAGGGCAGGCTTAAACAAAACACTATAACTAATTGGATTTACGAATATGAAATGTCATTAAAATCTCTAAATATGTCATTTCATGAGTGCTTTCTGCTTCTCCCCATAATTATACATTTTAAATTATTATGTATTTGAGAAGCAAAAGCCCTGCTGCATGGACATTGGTATGCAACAAATCAGTTCCTACACAAAGGGGAAACTAAACCAGATTATGAAGTAATTTAAAAACCTGTTTTTAAACATCTGTAACTGTACCACGAGACAGCTACATCCCCATGGTTTCTATATTTTGATATTTCTCATTGGTTTAATATCAGTCAGTAGATTTTTTTTATTTCTTTCTTTATAAGTCTTTTAGGGGGAAAAAAATGAAACCAGCTCATTTTTTTTCCTTAAGAAGTAAAGAAGATACACTGAATTAATTTTTATCTTAAATATGCTATTGCTTATACAGTGGTAGAAATTAAGTACATGTATTTGAAATCCTATCTATGCATTTTTTATAGACACATTTATTTATCAAAATACTGAGTCACATGTAATGACCATTACTTTAAAGGGGACATTAAAGAGAAAAAGAAAAGAAGAAATTTCTTAATATCCAAAAGAAGGCCTAATTCTGGAAGTGTCCACACAGTCTGCACTTCAGTCCGTGTCTATTGGTTTTCTTCTGTGAAATATTCCAGGCCCACGTGAGCCTAAGGAGAGAGAATCAAGGACAGAGACAGCCAGTTTGGGGCTGGAGAGATGGCTCAGCAGTTAAGAGCCTATACTGATCTGGCAGAGGGCCCAGGCTCTGTTTTCAGCACCCACATTAGGCTGCTGGCAACCACCTGTTACAACAGCTTCAGGGGATTCCATTATCTCTTCTGGCCTCTTCAGGCAACTGCACTCAGTGCACGTATCAGACAGACAGACAGACACACACACACACACACACACACACACACGTGCGCGCGTGCGTGTGCACATGTACATAATTTAAAACAAAAATCTAGACGAATAAAACTAAACATACTGTGTTGACCTGGCAGGGAACTTTCCAGGCCTGCAGGCTATGGGGAAAGAGAGGGCTCTTTCCCAAGGTGATGTTCTCTCTGGCCGGCTGCCCTACCCTGACTTAGGAACTAACACAGTGTTCCTATGTGGAGAGGGAGCTGACCTTTTGCCCTGTTTCCCCTTGCCAGAAGTTAGAAGGGCAGGGTGTCCATGACTTCAGACCTGAAGCAGCCAGACTCTGACTCTTGCTAGCTTCCTTCTACTGGGTGGAGTCCCACTCCACAGGTCCATGGTAAGCATAGCGTACTGAGGGGAAGCAGAGGTACAAGTCCCTGCAGAAGGGTACAGGAAACCCATCTCTTGCTTGCACAGCAAAACTGATACTCCTGTTGGCTCTGTGCTATATAGTTTGGTCAGTTTCACAGGAAAAAAAAGCTGTTTCATTTTGTCCTGTTTATACATGCCTTTATTTTTCTACAAGAACTTAGTGTTAAAGAGAGAATTTAAAGATTTGAGATACCAGGCCTTCATCTCCCACCCTGCTCTTACTTGCTGGAATCCCACGCTTCGGTCTCCCCTGGTAGAGTAGCAATATTCTCTGAGCCAGATGGGAGGCGGACTCGAACTTACTCACAACAGGAAAATAGAAACCACACCGGGAATGTTTTCTTAGTGACAGTTGCACTAATGCTCTCCTCTCCAGGATTCTGAAATTATCTGGGAGTCTGGCAGGACAAGAAGACCGAGCTAAAGTACAATGCTTCTCACTCTGTGGGTCACGACCCTTTTTCGGGGGCTTAAGTGGCCTTGTCACAGGGGTCACCTAAAGCCACCGGGAACACGGATCTTTACATTATGATTCATAACAGTAGCAAAATTACAGTTATGAAGTAACAGTGAAAGTAATCGTCGGGGGCCACCACAGTGTGAGGAGCTGTATTAAAGAGCCTCAGCCTGAGGAAGGCCAAGAACTGCTCCTTCAGGGGCCGTTGATCCTGGTTTGCTCTCCAGTGTCACTGAGTGATGAGAGCTAAGGTTTTACTGTGAGACTCTGTCTCTCAGACGGATGAGTTCACGTGGGAGATTAATGTCCCTCCTCTGTGCAACTCTGCTGGTTGCTTCTGCCCCGTGACTGTGCCGGCTTTGCTTCCACTCCATTCCTTTCCGTCTGGATTTTTCTAAATTCTGCCTGGTTGGCTTTGGCACGATCTTTAAAAAGCCGTATGTGACGCAAACGACTTGTCTTTTTCAGCAAGCCACCGGATAATCTTTGTAGTATCTATTTGTCTACTCAAGTTCTCGGAAATAGCTCACGTTCATCGACATGCGAGTATTCTGATTTGCATTTTTCTTTCTAATTTTGAACATCCAGGACGCCATCCTTTATTGCTCATGAGAGAAGGGTCCCGTCGCATATAGGAGAAAGAAAATGTTGATGCTGTTTTGGGTGTTGGCCCTCCTTGCCCTCTGCGCTTTTCTGTGGAATTGCAAAGGACAACTGAAGATAGCAGACATCGCTGACAAGTACATTTTCATCACTGGTTGTGACACAGGCTTTGGGAACTTAGCAGCCAGGACTTTTGATAAAAAGGGGTTCCGTGTCATTGCTGCCTGCCTGACTGAGTCAGGAGCGACTGCTTTGAAGGCAAAAACCTCAGATAGACTTCACACGGTGCTCCTGGATGTCACCAACCCTGAGAATGTCAAGAAGACCGCCCAGTGGGTGAAGAGCCATGTAGGGGAAAAAGGTAAGAGAAGAAATCTGTGGGATGGGGTGGTTGGGAGATGGGGAAGTAACTAAAGCTAAACAAAATGAGTCCGTGTCTTAAATGGCTTTTCAAGAAAATGTCCATGAAGGCCCTGCAGCAATTTCTTCGTCTCCACAGAGCTCCTAAGTAATCCCCTTGTGTGTGAGATGTGTCCCCAACAGACTGCCTAGATAGAGTCCCAGCAGGTGAATCTAGAACAGAAGTGAACGCCCTAACTGTTCCTGACCTTCTCCAGCAACATCTCAGCAAAGGGTGTTGAGGCTCAAGTCTTTAGGAGAATATGGAATCAGCCTCCAGATCACCACTTGGATTACCTGGGACCCACACCTCCACAGATGGGTTCCGGGGTGCAGACATCTTTAGTGGTTGGGAGAACAGGACCTAGGGCTGTGAGGACAAGGGTCTTAAGGAGTTCAGCTGACCCAATCAGCTGTAGACACTCCCTCTGCTTCAGATTCCGTTAGAAAACTGCACTCTGAGCTGGGAGAGTTTTGTCAGCTTTCAATAATAAAATATTCTCATAGATGAAGATATCAGGGCTCATAATAGAGAAAAGCAAATGTGTGTGCTTCAATAACCTCTTTAGCTCTAAGCCTCTGAACCTTAAATGCAATGATTTAGCAAAGCCTCCAGACAAGTTCCGGTGCCTGAATTCCAACACCTTTAGCAATACTGCATATTTCCAATCAAGAAACAGTCAAGTGGATGACTTATTTTTCTAGCAAATTTCAGCATAAAGTGGGTTCATATCACTTCTCTATCCACACAGAATATTTTATAAATATGCACTGACTGCACCATCTTGCTAGGCAGGGAAACAGACTAATTTTCTCTACGTCTGAGATGAGAAATCAGAAAGTCTGCCTCAAAAAGCATAAACAATATGACACTTGGAACCAGAAATAGAATAGTGAGACTGAATTCCAGTAGCTAAGCATGAACAATTTCAACTTAGTCTCTCACTCTGTCAGCTACCACTTCCCCGAAACACAAAAACATTTCAAAGCAGGAATGACTCCGAAAAGCAAATAACACCATTGTGTAAAGAAAGAACCGTATTTCCATCAGAGATGCCCATACAAACGACATCTTCCCACGGTGTCTCCTTCCCTCCCTCTCTGCTTCAGGTCTGTGGGGTCTGATTAATAACGCTGGTGTCCTGGGCGTGCTGGCTCCCACTGACTGGTTGACGGTGAACGACTATAGAGAACCCATTGAAGTTAACCTGTTCGGACTCATCGACGTGACGCTGAATATGCTTCCGCTGCTCAAAAAGGCGCGCGGGCGCGTTATCAACGTCTCCAGCGTCGGAGGCCGGCTTGCGTTTGGTGGCGGGGGCTACACTCCATCCAAATACGCGGTGGAAGGTTTCAATGACAGCTTGAGGTAAGGTGAATTAAATGATTTATACGATAATTGCTGCTAACGTATACCGGATATTTAGTATATATGAGGTATCCTTTTTTAACACTTTAAATATTTCCTCTTGTCCAGGGTTACACAGCTGGTAAGTGGTAGAACTGAGATTTGAACCCCGGTCTGCATTGACTCTCACTGCTTTCACTTCGTGTATTAGTGCATGATGCCCCCAGTGGGGTGCATTTACAGTCAACAGGTCAGTTTGTCTAGTAGAGAATTGTTTTTGGGTTGCTCGCTCCATTGTTATTTCTGGAAGGTGCTAACGGGACAGTACCAGCTTCCTTATGTCTTTGGCAGAAAAGCATTAGTTCTCAAAGGCTTCCCAATACACTCTACTTGGGTTCTGCAGCTGTATCCTGGGGGAGAGGCAGGGAGGGCATGCTTGATTCGTCTTACCTGAAACCAGAATTCGCGACTATCAGTTCAAAGTCCGTAAGCGCTTTTTCAGTCAAGGGTCTTAAAAGCAATGACCGCACTTTGAAATTGTGTTAAGAGAGCTCATTTACTGAAAGAACAATTTTCAGACATGTGGGAGATGTGGAGAGAAATCCCAAAGGATAGGAATGAGGGCTAAGACCAAAGAGCATTACTATCCAAGGACTAAGGGATGAAGAGACACGGAAGCCTCTAGAACCTGGAGACACAGAGACTGACCGCTCCAGCTAAAGATGAAATAACCAGTGTCCACACCACATGAGGAATTATTAGTCCCACATCTTGTACTGGCACTCCTGATTTTGATAGTCTATGTGCATCAGATACTGGGGTACACTAATGCAGGTGAGCCTTCTAGGATATAGTACAAGCAAAAGAGACTGGAGAAGCAGATGGAAGTCGGTTGAGTCATGCTGAAACAAGCAAGAGAAAAGACAAAATTGCTTTTGGCTCGTCTTTAATTCCCCCATTTGCTTATTCAATTGGTATTTACTGAGGGCATATGTTAGAGTTACGCTGCATACCTCAGATCTAGGAGTAGCTGAGTAAGAAAGAGGATAGATGACCCCACTGAGGTTAATAGAGGCCGATAGTTCCATTCTTCCCCATGATCTAGTTGCCAAGTCAGGGTCTCCTAAGAAACAAACACAATACCATTTATTCAGAAAATTAATGTGGCGTAGTATAGCCTGGAGAACGTGTTAAAGATGCTTAAGGGTGGGTATGGGATGTGACCAGGGAGTTTTTCTACAGCGTTACCAGGTGTGGTCGTCGGCTCGGAGATCATCACACTTCGAGTAACACTGTCTGTCATGGCAACCTCGCTCAGCCTCATTGCATTCTACAAAATGCAGTATCATAATAAAATGCTAGTATTTAAAAAGATACTTCGACTAGAGTGTTTGTAGATTCTGTTGTGCAGCTATACAGTGTCTGAAAGTAACCAACAGGAAGTGTCTATGTCGTTATGAACCACAGAATTGGTATTTAACACGGAATGGCACATGCAGACTGATCCAGGGTGTCTGCATACATAGAGAAGGGCTGACGGACAACAAAGAGAGGCCTGGGACTCTGAAGCTGTATTTGCTCAGCAAGCGTGTTGGTTTCATGTTGTCATAGCAACATGTAGGTCTCTTTTTCTTAGCAGAGTGGCCTGTCTCCTGTCCGCATCATTTTCACAAGCACATAGGAAAGAGTCTTCTCAAACACCTCCTTGGAGCTGCCATCTCCCAGATTTCTCTTGCTTGTTTCAGCATTGCAGATGAATAAAATATAAATAGGTTGAAAAATAACCTTTAAGAATTTAATGTAATATACCTTTTAAAACCACTCAGGATTGAACTGATTTCTATCGTCAGTAAAATATATTTCAAATTGTGCAATAGTTTTGATGCTAAAATGCACAATCTGGAAAGAATTGAATTACATTTTAAGATTACAACTAGAGCTTACAAAAATGCCTTATGGTGAGGGATGGAGATGCAGCTGAGTGGCAGAGCTCTCACCTAACAATACAAGGTTCTGGGTTCAAGCGTCAGCATGGGTAAGATGTCTATAAAATGAGTAATTGCCTCTTTATACATTCCTAGTGGAAATATGCATTAAAATTAAGAAACAATTATTCATGCACTACATTGTTTGGCTGACAGGAAGGAGGCACCAACAGCATCTCTAAACTGTGACTCAGTAAATATGTAGACTTGAGGCTGTCTATAGTGTTGTGAAGGGACAGCTTGCTCAGCAGCCAGGGATCAAGGCAGCATGCCAGCCATCGTGATACTAGATCCTTCAGCATTTTCAGTCATGTTGCAGTCCACATTCCAAAACCCCAGGGAAACCTGTCCCTCCAAGCCAGTCCCTGGTTCATTTCCCCATCAGATACTTTGAGCATGGAGAAGAGATCATCCCAACCCAAATGCTTATCAGTTTAACCAGAACTGGATTAGTGTGGGGTTATTCAGAGGATTGTCCACCCACGTCCATTTCCTGTTCCGTCATTCAGTGTCACCTGACCGCCTTGAACTCCAGTTTCTTCAACTTCGAAGTGACAGGGTAGAAGAAGATGTTTGTTGCCAACACAGTCCTTGTTAATTCTGTACAAAGATTTATGAGAAATTAGTTAACAGGTAGTAAACATTCTCCCAACAAATTTGAATGAAACAGCAAGAACAACAAATGCCTAGGATGTGACTACACAATGCTTGCCTAGCCTGGGTGAAGCCCCTAGACTGGATCACAGCTCAATGAAAACATGTTTTTATAATCACTAATATTTTATATAACAATTATATTTTACATAGTAATTATGATCATTAATATTGGGAACACTACTTCACATAGCCTAAAATTAAGTGGCAGATGTGTGTGCAGGTCATTGTAGAAATTGTTAGAAACTCTATCTCAATCATGGGCCAAAATTTATTAAGATGGTTTTAGGAAATTCAAGTCAGATATTCAAAAATCAGTTATTGAAATCAAACTTCCTATCGTAATACAATAGGAAGATATACTAACATGACAATTACATGCTGAGTAATGACAATAGCAAATACCAAAAATTTTGGTTTTCAGTAATAAAAACATCATATTTCTTTAAGAACAGAAAACCTTGTTTGTACATAAAAACATCAGCATTGATAGCATACTGTACTCTCAAATCCTCTCTGAGGTGTTTCAAGCAGCTTGCATCGATTTTGCCTGGGATAACGGCCGGGGCAGAGCAAAGATCACAGGTTCTTGTTCAGAAATCAAAGGCACAGCGAGATTGATTGTCCCATGTAACGTGGGCACGCACTGCAAGGAACACCTCAGATTCATGACTCAAAGAATTTTGAACCCATTTTTCATTATGAAGCATTCAACAGTCTGTTACTGTTGCCAAATTCTTTACAACCCCGGCACTCAGTTACAGGATGCCATTTGGGTCCTGACCCATGGTTTGAGAAACTGAGCTGCTAGGTGAGGCGCAGGGAGTTTATTCACCTTCCTCCAGATCATGTATCAGTGCGTCCAGTGATAGACAGGAATGCCAAGTTCTTGCTTTGGAATGGGGTTTCCAAAAAAACATTTTTTTAATTAAAAAAGTTCTCTGATTGTTCTTCTCACAGGCGGGACATGAAAGCTTTCGGTGTGCATGTCTCATGCATTGAACCAGGACTGTTCAAAACGGAGCTGGCAGATCCCAAGAAGACAACTGAAAAAAAGCTAGCCATTTGGGAACAGCTGTCTCCAGACATCAAACAGCAATATGGAGAAGACTACATCGAAAAAAGTGAGTTTGGGGGTGAATTCGGTGTCTTCTGGGATTCAGTGTCCTGGCCATCATGAAGAGTCATAGACACAATGATGGAAATATTTAATATGGGTTTTAAGCCACCTCTTGCTCATTTGAGTGATTATAAATGATTACTGAGAAACTAACATATGCCAGGCTTTTGCAAGGCATTTCTGAATTATGCCATTTATGCCTCAAAAGAAGTATTGGAGTAGTGAACAAAGGTTTTACAAGGTAAAGATTCCTTTCCAGGGGATTCAGTATCAGCTCAGTTCAGATATGAAGCCAGGCCATCTGGCTCTCAGAGTCTCATTTCTTTACCTATTTTATCTTGTTACTAAACACAAACCACTCATTCAGCATTGTTCAAGATTCTGTGGCAGTGACAATGATAGATAAGACTCAGACTATGGTCCTTACAGTCCCCTAGAGCAGACTGCAAAGAGTAACCAAGGAAACACTAGACTATACGGCAACAAGAAAACAGACTTTCTTTAGGGAGATCCAGAGAGTCAAAAGTGAAGCGGATGAGGCAGTCTCTAGTTGCCCTGGAATATGAGCCAAGAAAGGGCCCCAGCTGATGGAGAAGCCTTAGCAGGACAGGACAGGTTTGAATAAGGCTTTGGAATCCAGGAAAGAGTTACTCGGGTGGAGGAAGCTCTCGGGGGTCAGGTGCATATGAAAGGGGAAGAGGAAGAAGAGGTAAAGTGAGTCAAAAGACTGAGTCACGGGGAGAGAATCATAATCGAGATTACACAATGATGATTTATGCTGTGAACATTTACAAAGCACTCGTCATTGCTCGAAGTGCCCCACACGCCCTCTTTCATTCATTCACAACGGCAGGCTCTATGGAGTAGATGCTACTATGTCCTTCATTGTATAGGAATGACATGCAAATGTCATAGACATAGAAATGGCATGCCTGAAACTGCACAGCTGAATGTGAACCCAGCGTAATTGTGCCGTGCATTCTTGGGCACCCGAATTAATACAAAGAAAGCAATAGAGTGAAGACTTCAGCCAAAGTTCCTCTTAGGCCCTTCCTCCCACCCTAGTTTCCTGAACCTGCAATGTTTGCTTGTTCTTCCTCAAACATTGAGCTCTTGCCTTCAGTGGAACAAGGCCCTGCCTTTCCTCCATGTCACACCATGCCTCCAAAATGTGACTCTGCCTCACCACTGGCCATGTAACACAATCAACTATAGTGAGGTTCAAGATCAGTTGAATGGAAACCCAAGACTAAAATCAGAAACACATACGGAAGTTTTCAAGATGCTAGGCATTCCCAGCCATCACCATCTCAACGTAATACACTCACACACACAAGAAAAAGCCTCCTGAGGATTCCAACTAAAATTCCTGATTGACAAACTTGCCCAAGAACGTCTCTCTGTAAGCTTAAAGCCATCACCATTAGAAGCTGTATTTCTTACATTCTGACTCTAAAGGTTTTATGTAGGTCAAAGGTAAGAGGTTGAATTTAATCCTGATAGACTTAATACTTCAGAGACAAAATCCTTTGTTTAAAAGAGTTTTCCATGTTAGCGTGACAGTGATAATTAGCTATGACTATATCACAAAATTCCTTCCAAAAATTTTCTGGCATATAACAGTTGTACGTATTTATGAGGCATAGTGTGATGTGGATATCAATGTTAAAAACAGATCAAAGAGGTTGGTATATTGATTTTTTGAAACATTTATCATTTCTTTGAGTTGAAAACATTCACAATTTTCTTTACTAAGAAATATAAAAAAGCACTGAGCTCAATTTTATATTAATTTGTCATATTAATTACTTCTGAGTCAGAATTTAGAGGTGAGCCAGACTTATAGTTCCAACGCAGACCAGAAATTTAAGGTCAGCTTTCTTTACTTCCCAAGCTGATCAGCAAGGTAAACTAGTCATTAACACTTACTTCCTTCTTTGAACAACTTGTGACCACTTAACAAATGCCACCGTCACTTACTAGGTTCTTTGAACGATGGAGGGCCTGAGACCTAACATGGTAGGTTTTCTCCCTAAGAAGACATGGTCCGGGCATGCTTGAAAACACATGATTATCAAATGGTAGTTCAACTTTGAAGTTTTTTGTTTTGTTTTGCTTTGCTTTGTTTTTGAGAAAGCCCATACTGTGTTCCATAATTGCTGTTCTAGCTTACATTCTCAGCGACCACACACACAGGATCTCCTTCCTCCACACCCAGGTCAAACTTCTCTTTTGTCTCATTGCCACTCTGATGGTCCAATACGATGTCTTGCTGTGGGCTGAATTTGAGCACTAGAGCAATTCGTGTGCTGTGAACAACACATTCACACACACACACACACACACACACACACACACACACACATACACACATACACACACATACACACATACACACACACACACACACATACACACACACATACACACACACATACACACACACACATACACACACACATACACACACACACATACACACACACACATACACACACACACACATACACACACACACATACACACACACACACACACATACACACACACATACACACACACACATACACACACACATACACACACACACATACACACACACACATACACACACACACACATACACACACACACATACACACACATACACACACATACACACACACACATACACACACACACACACACATACACACACACACACACACACACACACACACACACACACCCTCACTGGCCCTGTTTATGGCCTCTTGAGAAATGTCCAATTGGATTTTTTCTGTGTTTTGAAAACCAGATTGGTTTTTTTTTTTTTTTCTATTGAGTTGTTGGAGGTCTCTTTGTATTTCTTCTTGGATATCCACCCTTTATCACTCTATGGTTTGCAAAGACTTTTTCCTGTTCCATGAGTTGTCTCTTTGTTCTTTTAGCTGCTTCCTTTGATGCACCAGAGATGGTTAGTCTGATACAGTCCTGTCCATTCGCCTTGGATTTTGTGGTCTGTGCTATAGGATCGTCTTCAAAACTTATTGCTTAGTCCATTTTCTAAAAGCTTTTTCTCTGTGCTTTATAGTTTTGGGTTCTACTTTAAAGTCCTTGATCATCCTAGATTGACTTTTACATTTGATATGAGATAAGGTTCCAATTTCATTCCCTTACCTGTGAGAAGTTGTTTGTCCAATACTTTTTTTTTTAAAATTATGAATCGAGGGCTTCAGATCATCCCCAATCCCTTGTAAATGTATTTGCCTTGGTGGGATCTTAGGTCATGACTCAAACACCTCATTTGCCCAACGGCTGGAATAATTTTCCCTTCTGATTCAGGACAACACTGTGGAAATGTTCAGTGGTGTGGGTACCCTCTCTGTCTTCCTATGCACCCTCATACACAAGAATGTGTACAGAATCATATATAACACAGTACTCTCCAGAAAGGATTAGGATTCAAAATTATGGCTTCCTAGGACAAGGCCCTCATGGACTCTGTACAGTATCCTTCCCTACTGCCTCTAAAGAAGCAGTCTTCAAGGTCCTCAGATCATCAGCATTACCTGAAAACTAGTAGAAAACGCAAATGCTAAGACTTCAGGTATACTGGCTTAGGGATTCTGTATGTAGAAACCAGAAAGCTGGATTTTAAAAAGCCCTCTAGGAGATTCTATTGCCCACTCAAGTTTGAGATGAGACCAGCTGGCCTAAAAGAAGACCTTGCAGCATCCTTTTCTGGAGAATGGAAACTCATTCCAGTGAGCCTCAATTATCAATGGCAAATTCACAATAAAAGTCCCTGTCCTGTGTCTTCCTGTTTGCACCCTAGCCTCCCACTATGCTTCTCCTTTTCTGCCCAAGAGTAAGCATATTGTTATCTCTTCTTCCAGGTCTACACAAGCTGAAAAGCAATACGTCCTCTGTGAACTTGGACCTCTCTCTAGTGGTAGAGTGCATGGACCACGCTCTAACGAGTACCTTCCCCAAGACTCGCTATACCGCTGGAAAAGATGCCAAGACATTTTGGATACCTCTATCTCACATGCCATCAGTTTTACAAGACTTTTTATTGCTGAAACAGAAAGTAGAGCTGGCAAATCCCAAAGCGGTGTGACTCAATCGACCACAACTGCCTGCCCCAAGCTTTGAGGCCGGCTGAATTCAAAGACTAATCATTCCAATCTCGGTCTTCACCAAACCCAACTTGGACTCATTTAGAGCACGTTTCTGTCTATAAAAGAGGGAGTTCCAGGGTCCCTTAAGTCTCCTTTGAAAATAAGGACAGAGAAGGCTTATCACGTAGTCACTCTTGCCTGATACTGAAGCCTTGCCTGATTGGTAGGATGAAAGGGAACCGAAAAGACTTCTATCCAAAATATGTGTGCTGCTACCTGCCCCTTGCTGGCTCAGTAATCCCGAATGTTAAGCACCGTGTTTTATCAAAATGTTCAGAGATAAGAAGCCTTTCCTAAGTGAACCTGATGGCTCTGGTATCTCCCTGAGGAGGAGCCGCAGGCTGGAACTCACTAAGTTCTGATAAGCTTTGAGAGGAACAAGGAAGTGGTCAAGGTGCTGTCGTACAGAGCAGTCACTGGTACGAACTGAGAGGCCCTGAGAAACACAGGGAAGAAATGCAAACAGAAAGACGGAAAGAGACAGGGAAGGAAAGAAAAGGCAGGGAAACTCCAACCCAAGCTCCACACTCCAGAGGGACACAGAAGATGCACTACCACGACTGCTGGGACATCATCCCGTCTGGTCCCTGTCCCAGAGGCCCTTCACATCTGGCTTCACTGTTTCAGTCAGCTCCATCACCGCTGGCCGCGGCCACTTCGTGTTTCCATGGTCAGGTTCTTGGCTCCATTTTGCACCTTCAGACTCTGTGGCTTGCTGCCCTCCGACTGTCCAGATGTCCCAAGGCTGCCAAGATTGGCAGAATCCGAAGGAAGCTCCTTTGCTGACCTTCCCACCGTATTAGTCCGATTGCTCTATCTTCTGATTCTGTATTTGTTTTGCCTTTTTCTGAGACAGGTTTTTTTTTTATTCCTTTAAGTAGCTACAATTTGCTGTTTCTTCCAATCAAAAACTAAGTAACATGCAGCCTACTATTAAGACCAAGTCTGTCAACTGTGTTACCCATGTTAATGTGCCAGCTGCATTTTGTTACACCTTTGTATTTCACTCATCAGCTTCCCCTCAGAGAAGATTCAGTGGACCACAGTGGTTACACTTCACCTCTTGGGTCATAGATACTGTAAAGGAGCCTGTGGCCATAATAAGATGTCTGAGCCCAGGGGTCACCAAATAAGCTGAGTGTTCAGAACAAGTCACTAATTTCTGCAGCTGAAAGCAGGGCATGTCTAAACCATCCAGACTAAAAAGAATCTCCTCCATTTAATTCACTTTTTTTTTTTTGAGACAGGGTTTCTCTGTAGCTTTGAAGCCTGTCCTGGAACTAGCTCTTGTAGACCAGGCTGGCTTTTTTAAAAATTTATTTATTAATATCTTCAAAAACCCTGACACATCTGTGGGGAGCTCAGCCTAGTATATAATAAGGAAAATCCCCAGGAAGTTTCTAAGAAAAATGCTCAAATGTTATCCTTCTGCACAGTATCAGTCCTAATAGTTCTTGGTAGAATAAAATATCTAGACTCATTTACTGATGTGGAGGAAGTAGCCACACATCCTCAAAATGAAAAAAAAAAAAACCTCTGGTATCCTAAAGTGATTTATATCAATTTTAATATAAGTGATCACCTCCTGAATTCTTGCATGCCAAACAAGACAATTACGCTTTGTTTTGTTTTTAACTTATTTATTTTTATTTACGTGCATTGGCATTTTTCTATGGGTGTTGGGTTCCCTGGAGTCAGAGTTACAAACAGTTGTCAGCTGCTATGTGGGGGCTGGGAATTGAACTCAGGTCCTCTGGAAGAGCAGCTGGTGCTCTTAACCACTGAGCCATCTCTCCAGTCTGACAATTCTGATAGTTTTTCATTAACTCTGTGGTGATTTTTGCCTTTCTTTTAGTTGCTGGGACTCAAATACTCAGGATCTCACGCAAGAACCCATGCTATACCACTGAGCTACACCACACCCCAGCCTGTGATTTATTTTTAAAAAGGAAAATGTTTATAGTTTCCGTCATAGTTTATGAAGCATTGTGCCAGCCAGAGCACTGTCTCCATCTGTCTAACAATTTCCAAGCTCTCTTGTTGGGCAACCTGCCAGAGAAAGATCCAGATTCACAGCCCTCCTTGATGCCTAGAAACAGGATATAACCTGAAATATGTCAGGTCAAGACAACCCAACCCAGCTGTCTGTCATTTTCTGTAGTCAGTACCTGCCCTAACGTGACCCACTTCACATCCGATAGAGAAACTGGAAACAGAAAGAACTCACTATGGATCTGTAGCCTACATGGTAGACAACAGTCATTGTGTCATCCATAGGCAAAAGTTTACTCTTCATCCATAGGCAAAAGTTTACTCTCAGCCTTTGGTCTTGGCTTCCTCCTCCATGGCAGCTATAACTTGAGTATATATGAGCCAAAATGGCGGAATCTGGGTTACAAAACAGATAATGCAAGAAAGAGCCTTCCCATTAGTAGAATAATAGGAAACTTATCCATCTGGTGAATGAGTGGATGGTCTGTGTCTGCCAGAGTCTTAGTACGGCCGTTCTGTGTTCCAGGAATTGTTTCCTCTAAACCTCGCCACGTCTCAGTCAGCTGTGTGCTTTAGAGATGGAGAAATCAAATCACAGCCAAGTGGGTAATTTTTTGTACGTTAGAGCGCTGGTCATCTTGGGCCAGAACTCACCTAGGCAGTCTTATTCCAAAGGTCATGTGGTGTGGTATATGATAAAGAATCCAAGACTTGCAGAGTCTTCCTAAACAATGATTCTGATTGTACAAAAACAAAACCATCATTAGGTAGGCCAACATCAATCTTGCCTACTCATTAATGGTCATAGGTAAAAGTGGTATATAATCCTGAGAAACACAAAGATACACTCATTTCTGTTTTTATAAATTCTACTTTTATCTCTTCTCACTTACAATAAAATAATGTGGATATTTATACACAATGTCTCAGATCTCAGCT